CACAATCTTATAGGCTTCAATGTCAACCAGACATAAGCACACAAACAATCAATGTCAAACCAATGGGCACAATCTTATAGGCTTCAATGTCAACCGGACATAAGCACACAAACTATCAATGCCAAATCAATGGGCACAATCTTATAGGCATCAATGTCAACCGGACATAAGCACACAAACAATCAATGTCAAACCAATGGGCACGATCTCATAGGCATCAATGTCAACCGGACATAAGCACACAAACTATCAATGTCAAATCAATAGGCAATCTTGTATCTTGTTCCTTTATGACAAGGAACGAATTACTCTCTCACTGTAATCAAAGTGGAGTGGAATATTTTCATACAGCACAGTTAATTAGACGTTTTAAGAGTTTTTACGTCATTATATATGTATCCCATGATTTAAGCTAATCATGTTACGAAGTTATTTACAGTGCAGTAAAAATTAATCATGAAATAATGGGTTTTACGTAGATGTCTACAAATGTAGATAATTAATATAATATGCAACGTACTTCAGGTTTACAGATATAGTGTGTTGTGCAGGTGCAACTTCAAAGATTTATTAAAACCTGGAAAAACAGGAGAACAGAAGGAACATCATAAGTTGTAGTAGTTTATTTGAGTCCTCAGAGATGAAGATGGAGTGCAGGGAAGAGAAGAATTGAACCAGAATGGAGCAGTCCGACTGGAGCAGCCAGGATGGAGCAGGGTCGATCCTAGGTCGATTGGGTCGTCTTATAGAACCGATGCCAGAGCAATATTCAGTCTTATTTATATTTTTAGATAACAATTACGATAACAAAAATAAAGTACAAGGTTATTCATAATACATTATTGGTTCATTATCGACAACTATTTATTTCCTTGTTCTTAACTTGATTTAATGTTAAGTTTCTTTAATACTAAAATGTAAGGAAGGTTTGACCTAAATAATCGATCAACTTGGGATCAAGTCTAAAGATAGATACGGAGAAATTGGAAAGGTTGTTTATATCTATTTTTAACTTTTAATTGCTTTTACTAACAAACTGTGTGTCTTCCTCATAATTTTTGAATATTAATTTAAATCATGAAAAGTTATACTATAACTCGCTAAAAGTGTTACACGGTATTATTACAAGTATACAGGGTAACCCACAAAGAATAATACTGAAAAGACGACCTGTAATTCTTTAAATATAATGATTTTAAGGTTAATTTATGTTTTCTATAAACCTTTAATATATTGTCTTTTGGAGAGTGGAGATTTCGAGTGACTTGGAATAGTTAATATAAAGAATTAGCCAGTATACATATTCTAAACTGTCTTTCTCATTCTTTGTGGACAACCCTGTATAATGATTAATGATATTTCTTTTGTAGGGGAAAAAATATAAATTTCCTACACAACACAAACCATATGCCTCTCTTAGTTTTTGAGTCATAAAAATGTTTTCAGAAATGACTATATATGTATGTATAATAGTGCTATTAAAATGTTTTCAGAAATGACTATTATGTATGTATAATAGTGCTATTAAAAAGTTGCATGACGAGCTATAAATTTCAAATTTAACCCTGAACTGCAGTGAAAAATGAAGATGTTATTTTTTCGCAAACTATAAATCACAATTAAGAATTTTTCAAAATCATGTTCATAAGATTTAGCCTTGCTGTCCCACTTCCCTCATACCATTTATCAACCTTTTAATGGAAAAATAACACTTTTTCTATTTTTGGAAAACTCATAATAAAAATTTTTATAATTTAAAGATCCATATTTTGTAATTTTTTAAAACGGAAAATATTTCTCTAGAATGGAGAAAAACTACGGAAGAAATACTTAAAATTTAACACTTTTCAAGTATTGCAAAGCGAAGATATCTTCCATATTATTGTTTGGATAAAGGTCCAAAGGTTTAAATGATTAAGGAATGGAATGGGATAGAATGGAATGGGAAGGAATGGAATGGGAAGGAATGGAATGGGAAGGAATGAAATGGTAAGGAATGGAATGGGAAGGAATGTAATGGGAAGAAATGAAATGGGAAGGAATGGAATGGAAAGGAATAGAATGGGAAGGAATGAAATGAGAAGGAAGTGAATGGGAAGGAATGGAATGGGAAGAAATGAAATGGGAAGGAATGGAATGGGAAGAATAGAATGGGAAGGAATGAATGGGAAGGAATGGAATGGGAAGGAATGGAATGGGAAGGAATGGAATGGGAAGGAATGGAATGGGAAGGAATGGAATGGGAAGGAATGGAATGGGAAGGAATGGNTAGATATTAGACATCCCTACCCCATCCTTTCAATTATGTGCATGACTATCGTTTTCTAGGACATTACCCAGACCCCCGTTCTCTCATTGTATCAACAGCGGTCGTGTTGTCCACCTACCTTTGGGGACGATAGTTTGGCCTTCAAATGTCTTACGAGTTACATTTAGCGGCAAAACTATCGTCCTTACAAGTACGTGCACTACACGACCACTATGTATGATAGAACGGCCTCCGAATCAACTGATTTCTACTGATTTCCTGTAATGGTTTAAAGTTTTGGATATGTGAATTTTGGTGAAATTACGATTCTTTTAATGTTAAATTGTGTCGTCCGGTTTCGACTTAACACTAAAGTGTTCCCCTCAACGTTTACTTTTTGTTGCTAGGAGACGTTATATTGTCTCCTTTAATTTGTAATCGTAGACAATAGTTAGAAAGCTATATAATCGACATCTTCTTTATTATTAAATGTGTCTTAGGTTTCCACCAAGGTACGAAATAATGTAGTTTTACCCATAACGTTCATTATTTGTTTCTAAGAAGGGTCATAGGTACTGCAGTCGGCTCCTTTTTTAAATACTAAGATTAAGTGTAATTGATGATTGTTCCCCTAACAATAAAGGGGGTTTATCTTCAAATAGGGGGTGTGTGTGCATTTTTCATGATCCTTCTAGATAAGTCCTAATTGGCCACTTCATTAATGCTTATTTTAGGTGCGTCCTTTCTACGAGAAGAGGATGGGTCAGGAGGTTGAGGCTGATACCCTAGGAGATGAGGTAATTATTCCAAATTTAAGGCTCTATTGTGTCCCAGATATGCTAGACTAATAAGTCATTAAATAAGTCATATAAACGCTTTTGTTATTAAAATTTCTTTGATTCTATTTTCGCCTTCAAAGTTGTTTTACTCAGCGGGTTCAGCCATTTGTTCTCATAGTTATTCACCTTTCTGAAGTACTTAATGAAAGATATATGTAAATCTTGTTTATTGATAAATTTAGTTTTGTACGATATTAAATATTATTTTCTATTTCAGTTCAAGGGATACGTTCTCCGTATCACCGGTGGAAACGACAAGCAAGGTTTCCCCATGAAGCAGGTAACTAAACGATCAAAGATCCTGACAAGATAATATCGTGTTAGATTCACATTGGGGGGGGGGGGGTGGTTATCAGTTCCTTTGTCTGTTCTAGGATGATTGTCAAAGTTTTGTTTTTCATTAAATATAAACATTTCCAATTGATATCGCATGGATCAGAAGCAAGTCCAGGGCTTAGGATGGATCCGCAAGATTTTGGCTTCCTGGATCCAGATCCGTGAAGATATGCGGATCCACGGATCCGGATCCAAGTGGCCAAATATCAACTAAAAACTGCAAAAATAATCCCCTTTTTACTCTCTAAACCCAAATCTGAACTACTAAATAAAGATGTATTAAAATTTCCTGATTTCTGTATGGTTAAAGCTAAAAACAAGCCAATAAAATACGACTAAAAAATGAAAATCATGCTTTGTTATATAACTTCAGTAAATCTTGAAGAAATGACCTGGATCCGGATACGGATCCATTTTTTCCAGTGCGGATCCGGATCCGCATCAAAATGAAATTTATTCTAAGCACTTGAAGCAATTAAGGATATTTGTGGATCGGACATGTTTTTCGTCACATTGAAATATGATCAAAATACCAAGACGGAATTTATTTTGAATAGCTTAGTCAAATTTAAGCCACGGTTATCTGGCATATGATTAGGATCTTGTCATCGATTTTTAGCTCTTAACCCTGTTATGTTTACCGTGCTCTCATGCTCTAAATCTACTTGGTGTTCAAATTCATAATTTATTTATTTATTTGTATTTAGGGAGTGCTCACCAACCAGAGAGTCCGTCTGCTTATGGGCAAGGTAAGATTGTTTTTCGACATTGCAAATTTGATAATCTTAAATATCGTGGAAGCAATGTCATCTTTTAATAAGCTTTAACGATAAGGTTATCCATCAAAGCAATCCTATAATGTTTTATTCCTTGTTTTATGTCTTATTTATCCAGTAATTAACAAACTTTTAAGTCTATATACAACCCTGGATTTGATGTTTAAATAACGCCGACTTATAACTTAAAATAAGATCACAGAATTCAAAGAAACCGAAAGATAGAATCATTAATATTAAATAATTATAGGGAACAAATTGCTAATGTTAATAATAATGAAAGATATGTTAATACATTGATTTAATAATTTAATGTAATCATATAAAGAATAACTGTTAAACTAGTTGAGCAATTAAAAATGTTGATACTAAGATTTATAAATATATAATCCTAGGGAACAACTTGCTACCGCCCAAGGCGTACTGGAGAGCGTAAGAGGAAATCTGTCCGTGGATGTATTGTCGACGGAAACCTCGCTGTCCTCGCCATGTCCATCGTCAAGAAGGGAGAGGCTGATATCCCCGGCCTTACCGATAACACTGTCCCCAGACGGTGAGACTTCGTAGATTTTGTGGAATTTGCTCATTTTTTGACAGCACTAAGCAAAAACTTGTTCCCCTATGTTCATTGAATTTAATATTTACCCCTTTGTATTCTAACTGATTTTTAACTTAATTCTGACATAAAACTTACTGTCATAACTCGCTTTGTTATGAATTATTGATGTTGTTATCTGTTTGTTTTCGATAGTGTGTCGGATTATAATTTTATTATGAACCCATTGACCGATTTGCTTCAAATTTTGTATGATAAACTCGGGATAACCACCGGAATGTGCTTAGTTTCAAGTCGAGTGGCTAATATCGTTTTTACTAATAATCGCGGGTGTGCGTCGGGATTAGCAATTGAGTACCCTGTGTCCGAATTTAATGAATTTGAGCCGCTCTCTCAAATCCGCCGAAAACCGGTTTCAAATGATCGCCGGCTTAAATTTTGAATTATTGAAACAATTTTAAATGGAACTAACCATGTTTGAGCAGTGTCCAAAATTTAAATCGCGGCTCAAATTCTTTAAATTCGGCTAGTGAACGTACAATTTCATTCTAATTATAAATGAATATTTTATCATAAATTCGACATGAGGCTGAATTTAAAGAATTTGAGTCGCGGCTCAAATATGGTTGGTTCCACATATAATCGTATTCATTGTTTCAAAATTTAAACCGACACTTAATTGAAACCGGTTTTTGGTGGATATAAGACGCGGCTCAAATTCATTTAATTCGGACATTGGTTATATTAACAGTTAACATTATTTTTGTGTTCAGTCTTGGACCCAAGAGAGCATCCAAAATCAGGAAGCTGTTCAACTTGACCAAGGAGGATGATGTCTGCCAGTACGTTATCAAGAGGCCTCTTCCCCTGAAGGAGGTATGAACCTTCCCCCCTTTTTTATCCCTTGCCATTTTATTAACCATTAAATCGTTATTTCAGTGACCCTCCGTTTTGCATTATGTAAATTTTATTGGATCAAAATTTAATTGTGAATTTTGATTTTTTCAACTGTGGTTTAAAAGCTTTTCGATGTTAAAAACAATGAAGGAAATGATCAGAATTGAACAGCTAAAAAATGTATTTCCGTATTATCTAATATACCCTCGCAAATCTGGTACGCTTTCTATGAAGGGTCACTTCAAATTATAACAGTTCCATTGCAAGTGTTCCAGAAAACTAAAGCTCAAATATTTTATAATGTAATTGATCTTATCTTTCAATTTTCTGATAGTTGTTTTGCCAGAGTTTAAAATTGATCATGTGCGTTTTCCAATGTTTTCTGGAACACTGTTTCATCTTTTATATGATGCCGAAGTAAAAGGTCTGAGCACTCGAGTCTGTGAAGATTCGTGCCCTGATAACAAACTATATTCTGAATCTGATAATATATATATTGTAAATATACATGGTTTTTCTGGGTAAGAAAATAACATCTTAAAATAATTAAGCTAGATTAGAGGGTTTTCTTGTACGTTTATTCACTATTATGGATTAAAAAATATATCTACGGATTTGTACAATTTTTCATTTTATACAAAATTGTGGTGTAATACTAAAAAACATACTTTGAAATTTAATTCATATTCTGTAAATTACTAACGTTTTACAGATTTATACATAACTTAAGAATCCATGATTGATTAATTGATTGGTTTCCAGGGAAAGAAGCAGAAGTTCAAGGCCCCCAAAGTCCAGCGTCTGGTTACCCCAGCTGTTCTTCAGAGGAAGAGACACAAGTAAGATATCTTTGTTTTACAGAGGGGCACGTCTGATTCACAAGGTGTTAATGAAAAGGAGGATTAACGTACATTGAGAGAACAAACTATTCAAAACAATCCCTATTAAATAATTAACTGTGACATTGGCATGCCTGTTATGTTGGAACTTCTACTCCAAATTAAAGTTTAAAAAAATCTTCAAATAACCATAATTTTTGAGGTTTAAGAACGTTTAACTTAAATAGTTCAAACTACACCTTTGTGTCACGAGGGGGAACCCCTGGACGCCATGAGCCTCCGCTTTGAAGACACGAGCCTCCTAGATTGAAAATACGTCAACTTAATTTTAGAACTTCACTTGTATAAATATTTTTATTATTATTTTTCTAGGGTTGCTCTGAAGAGGAGGAGGTCTGAGAAGAACAGGCTTGCCGCTGCAGAATTTTCTAAGGTGACTATTTTACTGTTCATTAATAAAAATTTGTGTCAAAAGAAAAAGAAACAATCTCAAGAACTGACTAGGGTCAACCCAGACCGAAATATATTTTCAATAAACGTAAAACTAACGTCTACTTTTTTACTCTACAGAGGTTTGGACCATCACCGAATTTTAAATGAAAAAGAAATGTATCATATTTTTTTTTTTTAAATCTTATTTGAACAATTCTTTTTAATAATNGGGTTGGACGTCTCTCCATTAGTTACCAATCTGTTTCTTCTTTATCGATGAAAAAAAGACACGTTAAAATTGCTGATTTATTCGGGGAAAAGTCGAAGGGAAGAAAATTTTGCTAGCTCCTGCATATTGTGCAGTGCATAATAATCTCTTGAAAGATAATTTCTGAAATACATTTTTGTTTTGTTTAATCTTAACTTCAAATACTAAAAAATTATAATTTCAATTACAGACGGCTTTCATTTTATTAAAATTTTCTCACTTTTATTACTTGTTTAGATCTTGCATAATAATTTCTCATAAACATTTCCGAATTCCATTTTTGAATTGGAAATTACCAGTTTTTCTCAAATAATGATAGAATTCAAACTATTTTGTTCTTATTTATTTATTTGTTCGCTTGAATGAAAATATATATACTCTTCAAAAAAGTAACTTTTCAGATTTGGTACATTTTTAGGTTTTTAACATACGAATGTTAGTTTTGAGGCTAATTTCCTCTGTAATAAGCATTTTTTAATTATATCTTTTTTTATTTTTTATCACTTGTAGGCATTAATATTTGGAAAACTTTATTTTTTCCCATTGAATTTTAAACATCATTTTATTCCATTTAATTAACATGTAAAAATATTATTTTGTTAGATCTTGGCTCAGAGACAGAAGGAAGCCAAGGAACTGAAGGAACTCAAGAGGAAGAGAACTGCTTCCCTCAGAGAGAGCAAGCGTTCAGTCAGCAGCCAGTAAATGCTCCCGGAGCATCTCCTCTCAGAGCATCAGATCTGCTCCACAGAGCAAGCCTAGTACCTCCTGTACTAAAGTTTTCATGTGAAAATAAAGCTTAAACAAAAATATAACTTCTCCATTTCAAAACTTTTTGCAATAAAAAAATATTGTAAGACATTTTTGATATTTTGTGTTGTGGTTTATGTTCTAAATCTTAAAGCATAACTTCAAGTGTCCCACTGTTTGACAATGCCTGGATCAAAACTGCTTTTAAATTGTCCGAATTTAGAATTATTGTTAATTATTTTGAGAACTGAGTTTCAATTGCCCTCGATAAAAGTGGCACATTGCACTTTCTCAGCGGAAACCGCTAAATCAGAAGAAATCACTTCAAGCCTGTAAAAAAATGACATTATCTATCCGATAAAGTTGTGAAATAAGTATTGCCATCATTTCAGTGAGGGTTACTTGAAACTGCACGTACAGCGTATACCTTTAAAGAATAAATGAATATAAATAATTCCTAAGCAAAGGTTGCTAAATATTTGGTGGTTCAAGAAATAAAATGGAAAGATGATAAAGGAATTGAATTTGTAACAAAATCAAATATTTAAACCCCAATATCTTTAGAACCCGATGTTGTAAACCTTTGATATTTCAAACTCTGATTATTTGATTTAACAGAATTCATAGTTTGAAATATCTTAGGTCTGCAACATTTGATTCAAAAGATATAGTGATTAGAAAATCAGAGTTTGTGACAAAGACTCAATTCCTTTAACGAACTGGAACAGAAAATAAATTCTATTTAAGTCCGGTGTCAACTTTCAAGCTGACAATGATTCCTTGGAAATTATTTTCTATTAAATGTGAAGGAGTTCTTTGTACGTCTTACTAGATTTGTCGAGGGAGGGAACCCCCCGACGCCATGAACCTCCGCTATGCTGACACGAGCCTCGAAGATTTGCAAGGCAAACCGAACCGGAAAGCAGAAATAAACATGCGCTATATATACTGCTAGTGAAATATAGGTTTTTCCAAACTTGTGTTTGAGTTTAAATAAAAGATTTATTTCAAATTTTTCGACATAGTGGCATGAGAGGTTTTCCGTAAAGATGAGAAATATTTATCAATTATAAATTGTGCCTAATTATGACTAAACCGTGGTTTAAAAACTTTAAACATTCTTACATGAAAAGGAAAATATCAAGAGAAAAAAAGTAAAATTTCATTTCCACTTTATTAATCTTTGATTTAAGCGATACCTATTTTTGTAGCTAAAATTAAATTTAGAAAATTTGTATCATTTGTTAAAATTTTAACATTTTTCTAAAAAAAAGGTATTATTTAAATCAAAGATTAAAACAGAACAAACTATGTTTACTTCAGAAATATTTCTTCAAATATCTTCTTTTTCCTTCTTTGTAGTATAAATCTTATTAACCACCAAATGAGTCGGTATGGCCTTAAATATGCCAATGAATATGAGATACAGCAATTGTGCATTGTAAACAGACCTATTTTACTTAAGTGATTTAATAACTTAATAGTAAAGCTTTTTGTCTTGTAAATACATCAAATGACTTTAGAATTACTATAATGTCGTCCTACTATTCCAAAGTTTTCTGGTTATCACTGTATGTCTAATCATGACAATCAATAAATAACTCTAATCTTTAGTAAAATTCTTATGCCACTACGTCTAGAAAATTTTAAAAATTTTTCTTTGCACATAACCAAGATAAATAAAAAGCTGTGCTGTATGGTGGAGGCTTGTTTACTGCATATCGGATTCACAGTCTGCACAGTGGTGGCTCGGTCTGTCTTAACAAATCTGGGAGGCTCGTGTCTGCATAGCGGAGGCTCACGACGTCCGGGGTTCACTGTCATTGCTACGCTAACTGTAACTCGTCAATTTTTTGATGAAAAATCCTAAATATCTCTTATTTATGTTACGAGTGAAAATGATGAAGAGTATTTGAAAATGTCTCTACTGAAAAATATGTTTCCACTCTCCAGTCTCTAAATCCTCTAAATGATTATCTTCGCGATGTTGAGATTAAATTATTAATCATTCTGCAGTTTACTTGAGAAAAATCAACTCCCTCCAAATGAGTTCCCAATTGTCGATATGCAAAAATCGTTCCTCCAAATCGGGATTCTTGTTTTTTCTCCCCGAAAGTTACTTTTAACCCCCTTTAGTAAACTTTAGTAAACCATATCAATTCTATCAACAAAATACTTGCTGATTTTTTACCAACAAATTCTGCTTAAAAAAAAAAAATAATAAACTAAGATCATTAATACCTTGAATAAACAATCATCAGTAATATATTAAAGATTTACACCATTTGAGATAAAAAACTTTCAGGATTTAAAAAAATTAAAAATTGATTTTTTTAGACTGTCACCCCCGGGATACCCATAGGTTTTATCCAACGTGTATTTTCATGCCCCTATGAGACTTTATTCAAGCCAGAGGACTAGAGTCGACCGAACCAGGGTCGTAATGGTAGACTGCAACCCTAGGATTGCAATTTCTATGCCAAGAAGTTGCGGGTTTACAACTCCGAAAACATTAATGAAAATTTGATTTCCTAACTCTCAAATATGTGTTACAAAACGGATAGATTTTACAGTTTTAAAACATAAAAAAGGTAGATATTGATGTAAATTCAAATATTATATTTTGTTAAGCGGGAAAATCTCCGTAAAATTTGTTAGGAGCTAAAAAATTACATTTCTCTTCAAAAAAGGCTGCAATAAATATATAAAGGAATATTGCATTGACGAGGCTTCCCCAGACCTTGTTGGGTCGCAAAACATCACGAGCGTAGCGAGGGATGCTTCATCGCATCCCTATTGCCTACTTATAGTGAAGAAATAAAAAGTTATTAAAACCATGATACAAATTTCTTTGAATACAGTGAGAACAAGAAAGTTTTGGAATGAGAATACGACATTGAAGCATTACATAAGTTTATTCACTGTTTCAAGAGAATGGTTTTACTAATTTGTCTTAGTACATCGCTTTAACTGTTAAATGAATCTGTTTACAGTCAACATTTGCTATGTCTATTTGTCTAATGTTAATTGGAATATTTAAAGTCCTAACTTAATTTCAAAAGTCGTCTTATTCAATGGTTTTCTGGCCTTCTCCCTCTAATTTCAGCTTTTTATCCAGAAAGGAAATCGACAAAATAAAATAAAGAGATAAAATTGAAAATTAAATTTATTTTTTAAATAATATCATAATCATATTTCAATATTAAATTTAAAATCAAAGAATTAAATGATAAAATAGATTTGATGATTTCTATAGTAACGACTACGGTTCACAAACAGGCACGTGGTACAAAACCTGTAGTGCACTGTACATTGTACATGGTACAGTAAACTTTAAGAAGATGGTAAACGGCAAACATCTACAGTTGACATATTAAACAAATTGTACAATGTAAATAATCAAATTATTGCTCGCAGTACAGACGAATGCGAATCGATGATGAAATGCAGTACAGTTTACTATGTACAGTAAACACTATATTTGTACAGAGAACCGGTTTCACATTCTCAAACTACAACTTTGCGCCTAAAATAAAAAATCAATTACTTTCATTATCAACCAGTAAAAAACCCCCCACATATTTACAGAAAAGTTCAACTTTTCATCTTTCAACAATAATATTGTTTAACAAGATTCTTCACTCCATCATTTCAAAATATTTTTTTAAAAAACACCTCAAAAATTATTTAACCGCTCCTTCCAAAAAGTTTTCACGAAATATGGAACTTTATTTCTGGGAATAACATTTTTATTTCCCTACAACCCCTTAACCCCCCGCCGCCGGAGCTCGTTTCTTGTTAATGGTCGACTGGAGGACATGTTATCGTGTACCAACACAGGATGAGACTGTAAAGACGACCCAAACTCTTTAAATATGACGATTTGAAGCTAGGGTTTTGGCTTCTGCCTTCAATTTAGGCAGAGAAATAAACCAGTTTTGGTCTGCAAGAAACCGTGAATCTAAATTTAGCAAAGTCGTCTCAGAAGTCTCATCCTTTGTGGGTAACAGAATCAGATAAAGAATCCTACGTCAGATATCTAGCCGTCTTACCAGACTCCTTCAAAGTACGTCGGTAGGACGGACATTTTTTTAACAAGAAACGGGCTCAGGAGGAAGGTTATCTGGCTTCATCAATCAATCAATCAATCAATCGTTCGTTCGTTCGTTCGTTCGTTCGTTCGTTCGTTCGTTCGTTCGTTCAATCAATGAACCTGTTGTGCCCTGGCTTCATGCTTGACAGACCGCCATAGCTTCATCTCTCTCCTCGCAGAGCTCAGCACCAGTCAGAGCAAGCTTGGACTTGGCGAAGTCGGACAAAGATAATCCCTAAAAAATTCATAAAATAAAAAGTTTGCGCTTTGTGCCACCTGAAATAAAAATTAAGATAAATACCCCTGAGAACCCCTTTTTATTAAGATTAACCAAAAAAAACTATTTGGCAACAAACTTTGGGCAAACCAATTAAAACAACCTGGTGGGGCGGGTCAATTAATTAGAGATTTTATTTTACGAACTTTTTCATACTAGAAAAAATCTTTACACTAATAGATACAAGTTGCCAATAATTTTAAAGAAATCGAAGTTAAAATTTCCCAAATTAACTGACAAATATTTTTTCCTTCGTAGCTATATCTTTTGTTCTGCAAGCATCAAAAAAAGAAAAAGGTTGCAATTATCAGGTCCAATATCAATTTTTACCCTGCAAATTTTCGAAAATCTTTATTTTTTAATTGCACAGTGGGTGAGGTTAGTAAGGTCAAACCTGCACAATAGACCAGGCTCCGTTCTTGACAGTGATCGGGAAGGAGAACATGACTCCGACAGGAGTTCCATAGGAACCGTCGGAGAAAACACCCATAGATACCCAGTCATCCTCAGGGGTAGAGGAGAACAGGGTCTTCATATGGTCACTAGCTGCCTAGATAGATAGATATAAAGATTAGAGATATATAGATATATAGATATAAAGATAGATAGATAGATATAAAGAATAGAGATAGAAAGATATATAGATAGAGATAGAAAGATAGATAGATAGATATTAGACATAGATAGATGAAAAGGTGGATAGAGATTGCGTAATGGATAAATAGATAGATATATACTCGAGGAGCTAGATAAATAGATAAGTAGATAAATAGATTGCTAGAAATTGAATAGTAAAAATGGCAATGACAGCTGGAAAATAAAAAAACCTTTGCTACCGACATAGCAGAGCTTAGCTTCCTGGTGGCAATGACACAATATAAAATAAAATACCTTTGCCGCTGACATGGCTGAGCTTAGTTTCCTGGCGGCAATGACAGCTGCTCCTCTCTTCTGTACAGTTGGTACAAAGGTATCCTGGACCCAGGTATTATCCTTGATTAGTTCAGCTGCTGCCTGACCTGTAATAGATAAATATAGTAAGGGACTGTCCGCTTCATTTCTAGTGATCCTTCATAAGCTACAAGCCTTAATCTTGCCTAGGCAAAAGTAATGGAGAAATCCTTTTTCTTTTGAGAATTGATCATTTTCCATTTAGATCTCTTCTTTTAAGTGCTGAAAACAATGCTTGCTTTTTCGTTGTTTCTCAGAGAAAGGGTAGAATGGTTCCCCCAGATAGATACCTTTAACTGTAAATGTTCCATATCTGGGAACTGTGGTTCCAGATAAATACCTTTAACCGTAGCATGTTCCATATCTGGGAACTGTGTGGAACTGTGGTTCCAGATAAATACCTTTAACTGTAGCATGTTCCATATCTGGGAACTGTGTGGAACTATGGTTCCAGATAAATACCTTTAACTGTAGAATGTTCCATATCTGGGAACTGTGTGGAACTGTGGTTCCAGATAAATACCTTTAACTGTAGCATGTTCCATATCTGGGAACTGTGTGGAACTGCGGTTCCAGATAAATACCTTTAACTGTAGCATGTTCCATATCTGGGAACTGTGTGGAACTGGGTTCCAGATAAATACCTTTAACTGTAGCATGTTCCATATCTGGGAACTGTGTGGAACTATGGTTCCCCCAGATGGTTACTTTCTTAATATCATAAACAGCAGCTCCGGTCTGAAATTATATCTCATTCAACATGTTTTTATGACTTGAAAATCAAACAATTGATCCAAATAAATGGCACAGTTAATCCCGAACTAAGAAAGGGATTTTTCTTGTGTGGGGGAGAAAAAAATAAATTGAAAGTCACGCATTTTTATTATTAATCCTTTTTCATAATTTTTGTCCAAAAAAATATTTATTTCCCCAATTCATCATGTAAAACCATAAAAAAACATATCTAACTTCTAGGAAAAGAAAATGATGTTAAGGGGGGGGAGGGGATATAAATAGATAAATAGATAAATAGATAAATAGATTAATAGATAAATAGATAGATAGATACTATATAGATACCCAGATAAATATAAATATTGACAGATAGACAGATAGTTAGACAGACGTCAGACAGTTACAACTATAAGATTACAGATGTAAAGACAGAAACAGTCACAGACAAATGGAAGAAGAGACAGATTAATATACCAGCCAAATACGTCATGAACACTCATCTTTTTTGTTTACTAAGTGTACTGCAGATTCTAGGAGAAAAATAAAATAAATTAGTCTAAACAACACTGGGTTGATTTATGCACTTTTTGTTAAACAGAGAAATGGGTAATTTTTGTATTGTAAACCTCGGGATCAAGACTTGAGGGTCAAGACAAGCAGACCTACGATATCGCGTGGTGGTTTTAACTTTATATTTGAGGGATCATGCATTTAGCCTTAATTTCAAAAGTGCCTCCATTGGATATCGAGATCATGTAATCAAGATTAACGCTACTCCGCACAAAAGTTCCGACCTTTGGATGGATGAATTAGCAGTTTAAGAATATGTGTTCTAAATATATCAAATTTCCCCATATCTAATAGTCATTATGATTTATTTTCTTTCAATGATAATTATAAAAGGATTTTTCTAACCTTTGGTATGCTAGGAGCGTAGTGAGAGCAGATTAGAGCATTTGTGTTGGCAGGGTTTCCTACAACCATCACCTAGTACAATCTAGGTTAAAGGGTTTCCTACAACCATCACCTAGTACAATCTAGGTTAAAGGGTTTCCTACAACCATCACCTAGTACACACTAGGTTAAAGGGTTTCCTACAACCATCACCTAGTACAAACTAGGTTAAAGAGTTTCCTACAACTTGCAGATTTCGGCTACAAAAACAATTGAGGAAATTTAAAAATTTTGACAAATTTTTTATCAAATACCGGTTTAAGAAGTACAATTGTGTTTCGGGAATAAGAGCCATTTAAAATAATAACAATCCCCTTCAGAAACAGAACGCGATTTTATCTCAATACTATATTGATGGCACTTACTGTCTTATTAATATTTATTAAAATATTGATTTTCATAATGATCAACTATACAGGTATTTTTTTTTAAATCACCTCCCCCCCCTCCCTCCTAAAGTAGCATGTTCATTCAATATGTTAGCTATTTCCAATTTTTATTCCTTCCTGAAATCTTATAAAATGTGGAAGGGAGGTGAGGGTGTAATCCTCACAATCATTTACCCCTGTTTAAACCCTGTAGTATACCTTCACGGTCTTCTTAGCAACCTGATCCAGAGCCTGTCCTTGAACCTACATTACACAAATTCAACAAATTGAAAACTACAAAATTACACAAATATTGTGAGTATCAAAAAAAATTACGCAAATATTATAATCGAACAAGAACGTCATAAAAAAATCACGCAAATATTGTTTTCGAACAAGAGCGTCATAAAAAATTACGCAAATATTGTATTCAAAAAAGAATCATATTAAAAATAGGCACATTTTGTATTCGGACAAAAGCGTCATGACAAATTAAAGCAAATATTGTACTCAGACCAGAGCAGTAAAAAAAAAACTGTATTCGGATAAGAGCGTCATGACAAATTAAAGGAAATAATATATCCGGACAAGAGCGTCATAAAAAGTAGCGCAAATATTATATTTGGACAAGAGCGTCATAAACATTTACGCAAATAATGCATTTGGACACGTTATAAAAAAACTACACTTAATATTGTGATCGGACAAGAGTATTAAAGCACGATTACGCAAATACTGCTTTCGGACAGCAGGGTTAACAAAACTACACAGACTTGACTTAGAAATAAAGAGATTTACAAATTTTTTAGCGTCGTGATTTCACATCCACCATCTTTTATCCATAGAGCACGGGGGGGGGGCACAGTTGTTTATTTCAGGGGATCAGGGGGGGGTAACTGGCTTTTGTCCCAATCTACCTTTTAAAATGCATAAGCCTTGTGTTTCATAAATTAGAATGGTCAATTTAATTGCATTTTGAATGCATTTCATTTACAAACATTGTATCAATTGTAGCTTGCAATGATTTATTGGGATTTACCTTGAAAATCTTAACATTAGCTGCAAGAAGGTCCTTCCTCTCCATACCTTCCTTCCTAGGCATAGCGCCGACCAAGAAAGCTGCGTCAATATCCTAAAAATATCAATCAATCAATCAACCAACCAATCAATCAATCAACTAATCAACGAATCAATCAATGGGACCCAAAGTTTTGATTTATTGATTGATTTATGATGTAGTTGATGAGAAGATATTTGCATCTACTATTTCTTAAAATCCAGTCTATTTATATCAAATCTTTGTTTTCTTTTATGTTTGTTTCTACATTTTGTCACTACATTTTTATTCTATTTGTATTTGACACCTATAAAAAAGGGTTAATATAAAAAATGTTTAGGATTTTTAAATATGATAGCCAATTTTCTTTTTGTTCTTTTTACCATGAACTATGTGTATTGTGTATTCAATATCAAATAACTATTTATCTATTATTTCATGAACTTATTATTGTTCATTATTCTCTATTTCCATGAGTTAGAACCAAAATGCCAGATCTGAAGAATAAAAGGATTTTTACCTTGAAGGCAACATTGGGATCATCGGTAGCAACTACATCCCTCACCAGAGGCATTGCACAGTCCTTAACAAATAGAAGTCAACTAGTGTTATGCGTGGAATCCCCCTCTACTCAAATATCACCTCACGGCCACCCGTTACTATGACAGTCCTAGAAATATACAATATTTAACAAGAACGTAGAAATAAAACTCTCCTACTCCTTAAACATAACCCCCCCGCCCTTTAATAAGTTATAAGATTCTCTTAACTTATTAGAGGTTAATTGTATCAGGGTAGTATGTTTCCCAATTCCTCAAAAATAAACCGCAGTTCTGGATCTTTAATAAACCCCTTATAGAAAGTATCAACATTAAGGAAAAACTTGTGTCAGTTGAAATGGTCTGTAAACGTAATTTCAAGTGGCACTGCATTTATCATGTCCGATTCACAACAGTCCCATTAAAAGTGTTGTGCATTCAAGAATGAATTGGCAGAAACAATGGAATAAATTGTCAGAATTCACTTAAGGCTAAAAAACCGACAATATCTTCTAATTGAAAGATTTGAAGGGTACCTTTGTGGATCAGATAAGCTCCTCTTTAAATGGAGGGTCACTTGAAATTACGCCTACAGTCCCTTTAAGGACGACGTCTACCTGAATCTCCATAACAACTCCGTTAAGAACTCCCATCATTGGAGCAATATCAAGGAGGTGAAGAGCCAAGGGCTGGAAATATATATAGAATATAAATATTCTTTTTAAATAAAATGTGACTTATTATAAACTGAAATATAATATAGTAGCTTGGGAGCCCAGCGCTGACAATGTTACTTATAGTTACTCCCGCCGTTTAACCGCACTTGGACGATTTTACCGGGAAACTAAATTTTCGCTATTAAAGTCGATCCACTCAACTTAGAATTATAAAACGAAGATAAGAACATTCCCGTGGGCATCCCGAGTTCCCCAATCAAAATTTGAGGCAAAACGGCCCAGATATAAATATATATTAAGTAGTAATCTCTCTTTATATTGATGTTCGATCATAACTCATGAACCCCTTGACCGGATAGCTAAGTTTGATTGTGATACTTAGAAGAACTACGGAAATGAGTGTAGATTGGTAATTCTAATTCTTGAATGGGTGGACTTTTGTAGGAATAACTCCAGGCAAAGCTGGGCTCTCAAGCTAGTAAACATATACAGTAAGACTTATATAACTGTGGAATACGATTGTTAGGACTATAATTATGATTTTAATAGGCCATTGAATATAAAACACAGCAATTGGGCAATGCACTGCAGTCAATTGATTATCAAGCTAAATTTAAATTTAATTACATTACAATTGCATCAAATACACATAAAATTGCTTCAGCAAGCTTTTTCTATTCCAAAGCTTACAAGGTCTTACGGAAGGTACATTTTTAAGATAAATTTACAGAAGATCCCAAGAAAAACATAATAATTATACAGTTTTATTACCTGATCTTCTCCGAAGACATATCCACTAGAAATCTGATAGAGCAGAGAATACGCAATCTGACCAGCGGCTCCGGTCACGGCTACGCGAAGGATGGGTTTCTCAGACATTTTTAAATCTTTTAAATTTTCAAATTTTTTAAGATTGAAAGAAAACCACACGACAAAAAAAGCAAAACGAGTGACACGACTTTACTGGCTAATCTTGATTTAGCATATCTTTTCAAGAATTAAAATTAAGTCAGATATATTTTCAGCAAGTGTCAAGTGCGTTTTTTCATTGAAATAAAGATGGATGATAAACATTTGGCAGTTGCGGTTTATGGAAAAGTACGGAGCGCAAATTGTTTAAATCCCGCAACATTTTAGTCCAGAAATTATGGCGCTCAATTTAAAAAAGAGTTAAGACGACATCCAAACTAAAAAGGTCGAATTGGGTGGTGTATTTTTCGACCTACACATGTCCGCCATACTCCACTTCTGACCTACGCCAAATCCGCTATACTTCATCTGTATGTTCTTATCACTCTAGCCTTTCAATTTTTAACTGATAAGACGTTTTCTATCTGACGCAGTCTTGTTATAAATAATAATGTGTAATCTAATTCCATAATAATGGGGGATGAACTGACTAAAAAACTGACTTTTAAGTTTGGAGGTGGTGATGAAACCAAACTTACTACTCTTGAGGCAGCTCTGAGGTTTACTGAAACCTATTTTTCCAAGGATCTGACCTCAACAAGAGTACAAGTTCCAGAGGAGAAAATTGATTATGGGCTTTCCACTGAAGTTGTAGCAGATATGAGTGAAGGTGAATGGAAAGCTAAAGCTAAGGAAATAAACGATGAAAAGGAGAGAGAAGCATTTAAAAAGTACTGGTCCCAGTACGAAGGTGGAGCTAGTGAACTTCTGGTATGGAGATACATTTCAAGAATTCCCGAGTCCATTCCACTAGCTCTCTTCCACAACTTTGACCTTCGCATGTTTCGACTTTTCACAGGTAAGGTTTGGTATAATTATTTTATGTTTCATATTCTGATGGACGACCAGAGATATGGATAACTGTTTGATCCATTGAGTATCAATACTAAAGTTATATAATTGAAACAGAAATAATAAATTCTGATTTAAAATTTTATTTTATTATAATGGTAGATAAGTTTGGAGTTAAAGGGAGTGTTTGTAAAAAATGAAAGCGGGTAATGGCTGAATGTGAAATGAATCTGGAATTGATTGCCACCCATTTTACTATATTTTTTATAGATGAATAAGTATGAATAAGGATGAGAATAATCTTAATCTTCTCAGTATTACAAATCCTCGAAAAAGCGGTCAAAATGTTCTTCATGAAGAAAATTACATATATTGTTTTGAATATAATCTACAGTGATAACCAGAAAACTCTGGAATAGGAAGTCGACTTTTAAACTCAAGTTATGACTTTTATTAGCGCATTGAACATGAGACACGGCAAATGTAAACAGACCCATTTTACTTAATAAGTAATTTTATAACTTTCAAGTAAAGCTATATGCTGTAAACAACATCAAATGCACTTTAGAATTCCTATAATGTCGTCTTCCTATTCTACAGTTTTCTGGTTATCATTGTAGAATCCTATTAGAATTTTTTATTGCAAAAATTAAGGACCAGTTTGAAATTGATTTAATTACAGATGCAAAAGAAAGAAGTAAAATTGGTGGAGGTTGATTTTAATTTTTTACAGATATTGCAAACACGCCCGTTCAAGAGAGTGTTCAGAAAATATTTGATATCATAAAACAAATATTTATATATTAAAGCTTTTTACAAAATGAAACCAGTGCATACCTTGAATATTTTAGTTTTAGTTAAGTAAAATTAACTCCACTAATGCCCAGCATATTTCCTAGGTATGCCTGCATCTTCAAGTGCTGGTTTATCTAAGGAGGATAAAACTGTTCACCACCTTGATCACCAAGAGTTTGACTTCTTGTTGATTCTCCCGGAATACCGGGCTTATTGCCATCTTGAAGTCAAGGCAGCTGTAAATTTCAGTGGTTCCTGTATTGATCAGCTGGAGAGAGGAAAATGTTTCTTCAAGATGGTTCAAGAATATCTGGGAGAAGAAGAATACAAGGATTGGAAATTTATTCCAGTTTCAGTCTTTCCTAATTCTAAGGTAAGGCCGTAATTTATTGAAATTTACTTATTTTGATTGTATTAACCTTCAAATATTCCTGAATTTGAGATTAATTTTACACATTTTTTTTAATCTTCCAAGTATATTTTTAACTGATTTTATTTTTAAAGCAGTGACTTTTTTCTCTGACTGCTGTATCTTCTTTTTAGATGCTCATACATCTGTTTTCTGTTCCTCTCTTTAGATCTACGCATTCTATTCCCTTGTAGACAAGGGAAAAATATTATGACACATATTTTAGCTTTTTTTTCTCCCATAGCATTACGCATCCATGCAGAGGTGTCAAATTTCTATGACAAGTTAAGTTTTAATGTGGATTGATGACACAGCTTTTTCGTCCAGTGTTTAAATTTCTTATATCTTCTCTTACAGGTTGGGAAAATAAAAGTCACTGCTAAGCGGGGTTTGAAAATTCCGCATTTACAATGACAAATGGGATAAGAAAGGTTGGGCAAGGAGTGGATATTTTCGACAGAAGAATTCTTGATTCTTGTAAGAAAATCATCTCGGACAGTGCTTTAGAATACAGCCTTGTCAACAACAATCTTTTCCTTGCAGCCAGCAGAGTATAAACTGGTATTATAGTGCATGGTGCACAACCTATTAGGATTTTACTTTTTATGTTTCCATTTTCCTTGTTTCTGGCAAGAGGGAGGGGGAAGAAAAGCATAGAGAAACTAATCCTTTTCTGCACTATTATTTTCTTTTTTTCCAAGTAGGGTGCACTGCCATGTTATTCCACACAGGGTTCTGTTCAGCCACAAGCCACTGGAGAGAGTTGTAAAAGAACCTAACTGTTCTGAGCTCCCTTAAGATTTACACATTGAACCAGATTCAATCAAAAGAATTAACGTCTTTCCGAGGAGTTTGAATACTTAATAACAGCTAACCAGGCTTGTTATTAAGGAGTATATTTAAATCTGCCAGTAGCAAAATCTGGATCCAGCTAGGTAAAAGACCTTCATTCTCCAGGTTTATACAGGGTTAAAAGATTAATGCAGGCCTTTAATGTATCTTGTAGTTCTGTTTTTTCTTTGTGTGCAGAGGTGCATACGGGGGATATTAAGATAAGATAAAGTTTCTCTAGTTTGTCATTTTCTCTCTCTCATGTATCTCTGAATACTTTTAGAAGCCCCTAGGAAGACCCAGTTGTTGCTTCTCTAAAAGAAGATGTACTCCTAGTTTATAAGATAGAACATATATATATGAGATCATCTTTGATATTTGGAAATACATAACGCTGCAGCATGGTTCTTGAAACAATGACCACATAAATCTACTAGTCCCGCACATTTAAAAAATGTGTTCTGACTGTTGTTGTGCTTTTAAAGTTACTAAAATAATGAAGAATTTGATAAAATTTAAATTTATTAATTAAACCAAACTTGTCTAAATCTGAGTGAAATTCTCATGTAATTTTGAAAGCACCATAAAGAAAGTCCACATTTTGGAAATGCCAGGAATAGTGATATTTTGTTATTATAACTTTACTTGTAAAATAAGGTTGATAATAAATACCACAAATTACTTCAAATTATCTTCATTCCATAATTTTTCATGTTTTTGTTTTTGTTGTAGTATTTTTCAACATTATGTACAAGATGTACATTTTCTTATCAAGACCAAACACCCCTGGCCAGGACTTTACATAATCTCATACCAGTATTTACCCCTAAATAGTATATTATCTAGACCAAACACCCCTGGCCAGGACTTTACATAATCTCATACCAGTATTAACCCCTAAATAACTGATTTCACAAACTTTACTGTAGGGCAAAGTACCAGAGAACTTAAAGAAGTACTACCCAGATCATCTATTTCTGATTAAACCAGATTTAGAGACAGGAAACCTGATAGAGAAGTTACATTAAAGCTCCATGCTTTGTTTGAGCCGGCTTATCCTTTATCAACATATCCTTAACTCCAATAAGTTTATCCTGTACCCCAGACAGTTTACTGATAATACATACTCAAGATTAGTTTCCTTTTATTATGCAGCAGCACATTGCACCAAGATTAAAGGCTCTGGAACCCTGTCTCTTGATACAAAAGATCTCCTGCAAGAGGCAACAAGGAAGTTGATTGGTGGGAAAGAGACTAACTCCATTGGAACAGGTGCAGAGTCTTTAATGCCCTCAATTCTTATTGACAAAAAGAAACCTAAGAAGGAAGCCTATACATTCAAAGATGTAAAGGAAGCAGGTGCTGTTGGATCTGTCCCCAGCTTGATGTTCTGGACCCCAGACCAGAAAAAGATATTGTTTGAGCATCATCCTAGAAGCATCATCTATGGACAATATGGTACTGGGAAGACAGTGCTGTTAACCGAGAAAATAAAAAGGATGATACAGAGTGTTATTGATGATCAGGACAAGCCGGGTGAGAATATGTATTTACAACTACTTTACAGGGAAGTTAAGGGAATTTACTTTACTGCAACGGTTCCCAAGACCCTAAACATTCAGAGTCAGTTTTATTTTATTATTTTTTCTTTTGTTGGGGGGAATCAAGGGACTGTAATGTTGGTCAAAAAGCAGTAAAATGAAAAATTTTATTTTATAATTTTACTTGTTCAAGCATTTTTATTGGGTATTTTTAGATTTATAAGATTATCTTAAAATATTTATTTTGCCAGATCCTGATGATAGAGAATGTGTTAACAAAAATGAAGAAATTAATTGCACTCAAAGTAAGGTATAGTCCACAATTTCTCACTACTATTTCACTATCTCTTAAACTAAACTAAAAGAATAAAACTCTTTTAAAGTTATTTTGATTTGTTTAACAGAGAATTCTTTAAACAATATTCTATTATGAACTTGAAATTCTCCAGGGTTAAACTTAAAAGATAAAATTTTACTAACAATATGAAACTCAGTAAAATGGCAATTCTTTTCACTTAAAATTTAGATTCTTTCCAAGAACTTTTACTTCATAATGTAATATTGATTTTTTATTTGATTTTTTTATTGCATTTAAATACTCCTATTACATAATTTAAAATTTTCTTTTTTTTAAATAGGTGACTTTTAAACTTAAATAAAAACTTCTTTGATAAAGAATAAACAAATCCAGCCCTCAGGGTGTGAGTCTGGTTCCAAGCAAAGTTTGGTCCAAGCCGTGCCGGTTTGATTGCTAATTATAAACTTGAAACCCAAATAACATACAAGAATGGAAAATTTAATGGTTTCTTATATTTCCTTTATACAGTTTGTAAGGCCTTTTTCTGAAATTGTAGCCAATTCGAATTCATCATAAAGTTGAATGATATATCTGAAATAATGCACAATTATTGCTGGCAACTTGTATGAATTACATTGTTATCTGCAAACTTCTAATCGCAGTTTTATGCTGAAGATTTAATTGGATTTATCAAAATATTTATGGGTGTATTTTCATTAGTTTTCCTTTAATTATAGAACTACGGTGACAAGCAGCAGTGGGATCAAGACTGCATTGGGGAGAAAATAAAGGAGGATTGGCATGACGAGCATGGTGAGTAAATATTAACCAAATGCTTATTCTATTTTATTTAAAACATCTTTCAAATACAACTTGTATCAATACATATTCCAGGAGAAAACAGCAGAAAAAAGGTTTTATTCTAGAGTCTGCTGATAGGGGTAGTGATGATGAAAGAGAAGAAGTTAATTTAACCCAAGATGAGGTATACACAATACAATCCACAAGTCATCATTCAGAGTGTGAATTTGAAAGCAAGACAAAAATGAGATGAGATTTTACAGCTTATTGTTTTCAATCTTAGATATATCTCATGGAACTTGTTTTTTCCCTGCCAGTGATGGTTCGTCTTTCTAAATTTTTAAAGAAACTTGAGGTAAAATCTTATAGGGTACTATATAATGAGACCAATTTTACTTGTGTTTCTGTGAAAAAAATGTATATAAAAAGTTTTCCATAGTGGTGTATAGATGAATTTGTCTAAGGAGGGCTAATATACCTTCCATGTCACAACTAAATCTCACGTAAATCACCTCCCTATGCCCCCTTTAGTAGCATGTAAGTTATATTCGGTATTTTTTTAACTGCAAGATAAAAATAATCTTGTTTTTATTGTTAAACCTTTTACTTTATCAAAAATTAAGTTTTCTATTTTATAATTTATTCACAAGCTTCAGACAAAACTCCTCGCACAAAGGATTTACAGAATATTTAGGACAACATTTATAAGTGTAAGTATCTTATATAGGATGGTATAATACAAATGATTTTTTGTATTTATTTTAACCCAGTGATTAGGGCTTAGGATTCACTTCATTTTGATCCAGATCAAGAGACTGGAATTGCCATAAAAACATGAATTGGTTTATCACAAACATTCTGTTTATTTAAGGAACTAATTTTTCCATATAAAATAACAAAAAGGGGTTACATCTATCTCAGTACTTTTATCCTTCACTTAAAAAAATACTTAGAGTGTTTTCCTTCAGGGTAAAAAATACTGTTCTTATAACCTCTTCTGATGAAGAATTCAACTGGGCAGTATTTTCTCTAACCTATCTTTTAATGATTAAACGTTCAATTAGACCATTGATGAACCTTCAGATTTAAATTGAGAGATCTACAAATATGCATGTTCTGGAACATTCAATAACTAATCTGAAATTTTCAAAAAGAATAGTGAAATTATAAAATCTGAAATCAAGCTCCCAGCTGAGATGAATCCCACTGCCTGTTTTAAATGCATTATCTCAACTAATATCAAATAAATTTCAAGTTGTTTCAAATAATCATTGAAAATACTTATACTTTTAGCTATATACTTGACACTCATAAATGTAAATCAAATATAAACTATTAGCTGACAAAGATTATTCCTATAATTACCGTAGTTTTTATTTGTCTCAAATAGAAAATTGGAATGCTCGATCACACCAGTCCTGAAGCATGTCTCCACAAAAAAAAGAAGTTGTATGTGATATTCTACTATTTTGCCCAATTTTATAGAATATTGTACATTTAGGAAATTTTTCCTTCAATACTTCTGTAATTATTAAAAAATATTAATGATAAAATGTTGGTGATTAAGAGATCTCTTTAGATACCAAATTTGTCTTACTGGGATCAAAATCATGAAGACAACATTCATTCAATGGAATATTTTTTCCCAGTCCTATATTAAATATGTAGCTAATAACTTTTAGAAAATTTTCTTTTTGATCTAATATAATATGTAATAACAACAAGGATAAGAAATATAGCTCTTTACACTAAATAATAACACCAATTTATAGTACAAGATTGTTTTCATGATAAGACACCTTAAACAGATATGATATGAATTGTTAACTACGTTTTTGATTCTGGCTACATTAACTTAATTTAATTTAATGCCACAAAATTTGTTAAAACTTGTTGTCCCCTACCCACCCCTTAAAAACAGTAAAAAACAAAAAATTTAAATTATATCTATTCATTTTTACCCCATTCTAATATTAAGGTCTTGCGTGGTGAGACAGAAGCAAGGGGGATTTACATTTCCTGCCTTAGTCCTAATTTCAAGGAGTGTTACGATTACAAGGGGAATTATATTTCTCCAATATTTAATCTGCTGATGAAGGAAATGTTTTCTGAGTTATCAAAGGAGCTTGAGGTAAGGATAGATATTGTCCTTGAAATTATTAAATAAAACTTTTCTTTTCTTTTATGATTTTTTGTAATGTATATGTGATTTTTTAAATTTTTTGATAACCATGCTGTTCTTGGTTTAATTAAAAAATATATTTATTTATATATATATCCCATATTCCCAGACATTTGAGAGTTTCCTTAATACCCAGATGTTTGGAAAATTTCCTAAAGCTTAATAATTTTTAAAGAAAATTGGGAATCTGAAAAAAATTTCCAAACGTCCAGGCATCTGGGAATTTTTTCAAACATCTAAGCATTTGGGAAATTTCCCAAATACTGAGGCATTTTGAAAAGTTCCCAAATAGACATGTATGTAAGTTTGACGTAAATTGAATGAACAACTTTCCATATATATTTGTTAACACAAATTTGAAATAAAAGGAAGACGACATTCTGTGTAGTATATATATGCAGCCGTAATGTCTATAAATCTATGAATCCTTTTCCTACATGCATTAGTCCACATGTCACCCTCGCCTTCCGGCTTCCCTTGCCACTCTCTACACCTCCCGGTACTCAGTCAGCCGAAAACACTTGAGATGATCACAACTCAGTCTCAGAGAGCTACCCTGGCTCCTTCATGTTGTTAATATAGATACTTAAGCAGCAGCAGACGATGCCTACATCCAGCCCATCAAAATGTTCCAAGAGTTCTAACTCTCCTCCACAAGAGGATACTCACCNAGGACGACGACTTTTAGACTGAAATTATGACTCTAAAAAGTTCAATGAACATGAGACACGGCAATTACGTAGTATATACTATACTGTATAAAGACCAATTTAAAAGTGATTTTATAAGTTACTATTTAACCTATTTGCTTTGTAACAACATCAATTAGACTCAAGGATTGCTATGCATGTAGTCTTCCTTTCCACAGTTTTCTGTAGATGAATTTATTTTGAGACATGGCAGTCAGGATTTATATTATTTCATGATAATTCACAGTTTTAGTATTACTTTAAATACAGCTACACCAGGAGCACATTCTGTTATTCTGTAGATAGTATTACTTACTGGTTTTATCTTTTACGTAAGTTTAAAATGTCAAATTTTTCGGAACACTATTCCGTAACATTCCGTAATTCCAGAACAACGTCCCGGAAATTTTCGGTTTACGGGAAAATTTTTTTCCGGAATTCCGGATTTCCGGAACCTTTTCCATAATGGAAATGGAAAAAATTTCCAGATCATTTCCGTATGTAAACCGTAACCCGGAATTCCGGTGGAAACCCTAATCTCAGTCAACCAAAATTACAAAATTCTCAATTATCCTGAGGTCAAGTACCTGGATCAAGCAGTTATCCGTACCTTTTGTCATCCAAAAGATTAAATTAATCCTTGTTAAGGATATCCTGTCGATCTTGCTTTTGAAAGAAAAAAAGCAGAAATATTGGATATCATAAAAATGCTTAAAAATCCTAAAAAACTTAGTAATCATAAGAATGTGGAACATCTAGATCAAGACCCAGCAAAAGAATTTGGTTGAGTTCTGGGGTGCTGAGGATATCTGTAGGGAGATGGGTATTCCCATATTTGAGAGTTATTTCTACTCTGTGCTTCCATGGTTTGTAGCAGGTATTTAATCACAATTATATAAAGTTACTAAATCAATCATTCAAATGATCTGTATTGCTGATATATGGATTGGACTTATGACCAATTAAATTTATGATCTGCTGATAACAAACCGGTTTTTAGTCCATTTGATTGTTAGTACATATGAACAAAATAAAAAATAATTATTTTCAAATAAACTAATTAAAAAAAATTAATATATATATTTCAACTAGTCATCAGAGTCCTAGCCCAGAGCTCGGCTCCTCAGCCTGTTTTAGCCCCAGTGCACGGCCCCATAGCCTATTTTAGCCGCAGCACTCGGCCAAAAGATTATTGTAACCCAGCCTAATCCTCAAATATTAAGATTAAATCATATAATTTTTAAAATAAAAACTAGCTTGGGAAGTCGGCGCTGCCAAGGTTACTAAAAGAAACAATTTTACCAGGAAACTGAATTTTCGCTATGAAAGTCGACCTACTCAACTTAGAATCTAAAACCAAGCTAAGAACATTCCAGTAGCTCTTGTGAGTTCCCCAACCAAAATTTGAGGCCAATCCGTCCAGGGGTTGCTGAGTTATGATTGGACAAACAAACAACAAGAAAGACAAACAGAGATTACAATTTTATATAAATAGATACATAAAACTTGATAGCAAGTAATTTTTTAAAGTTAAATTAAACCAATGTTTGTTCAAATGGACTATACTTTAAATATTTACTTAAGGCCTCCCTCCCTACAATCCCTTTTTGTGTGGAAGATCTTGGTAGTATTTCTATTTCAATTCTCGGTTATATGACTGCTTTGATTTATAAAACAAATACCTAAACCTTATAAATATATTTGTATATTTGTAGTGAAGGCAAGCAAACAATGCCTGGTGGTGGTTGATGAATATGGAGATGGTTTTGGCGCTAGAGTTAGAGAAGGTAAATACTGTTTATCCCCGGAACAAGAAGAACTCCTGAGGTTAGATAAATTCAGCAAAATAGATGCTAAAAACATCATCATATCTATAAACCCAACTCTAATGAGAGATTCTGAACTTTATAATGGATTAAACATAGACAAGACATTTGAAGTTCATTTTATATTGCATATATTAAGGAACTCAGGAAACATATGCAAACATTGCATGGATTATGGTTATATTAATTCAGAAAATAGTAAACCTTCAACAGTACTGGGATATAAACCAGAGCTGGTTTGGGGGGATGTGGATAATCCTAGTTATTACAAGGAATCCATAGATGCGATTATGAAGAAAGCAGACAAATTTATTTGTATCAGAGACAACAAGTTTAATTTCTCTCTCTTTGAAGAACAGCTTAATGAGAGAGATATTAAACTGTTCAGATATGATGATGTAGAACATGATTGTGATAAATTAAAGGATTTTATGAAATCTGATAGTGGTTGTCTGTTAACCAACCATGAATTAGCTAGAGGAACTGAGTGCCAATCCCTGTTATATTATCAGGATGGTTTCTCTAGTTTCTCTATGCTACGGTGTACAGTTAACCTTGTACAATGTATCCCACTGGGTGTTGTGCAAGTGGTACCCCAGGGATCAGGAGTCCTCATGATGCAAGGAACCCCGGGAGATCCTGCTGTATACACCCAGCTCCAGGTTGAGTTAAACAAGACACCATATAACAAGTCTAACAAACTTGTTTTCTTTCTTAGTGAAAAACTCCCTCCAGGAGTAGAAATAATTAAGAAAGAATACAAATTTCCAAATTCTAAGAAAGAGTTTGATGAACACCTTGATAGTATAGAGCAGGGTTGTATAATATATTATTATGAGGAAACAAATATGAATTTTCATTTATATACCCAGCTTGGTGAATGGTTGGAGGGAACATCAGTTCCCCTCATATATTCATATTATTGTTCACCATACTGTGTAAACATAATCTTACATTCACCAGGAAATCCCTTCATACGTAGTTTATATACCTAGCGATGTAGGTTAATGAAATATGATGTAGACATTTTATTTGTTTATCTATCTCTTTATCTCAAAAATTTATACTTTATTCTATGCATGATGTCAAACTTGTGTTGTCATAGAGGCAAAAGCTTTTTGAACTTCTGAGTTCCATATTTATATTTTAATATATTTCAAGACATTATTAATTACAAAAAACTGTTCAGAATAATGTTTAAAAGAATGTGTTTTAAACATTTCAAATTGAAGAGAATTCATTAAGAGTATTTTATATAATGTAGCAGGAAAGTGATGTGTTGATCTTTCCTGCGATCATAAATGGTTGTTTTTTCCCTCCTGCCATCATTTCCCTCCTCCCCCCCTTTTTCATCATTCCTTTCCCCTTTTCCATCCCTCCTTGGATCTAACGGATTTATTCCTGTTTGTGTTTGAATTCTATAAATAACCCAAGCCACGCGGAGAAACCGAAGCCAAGCTGAAAGTTCTGTTACCCCAGAGGCCCGGGGCTGGTGAGCTAGCCGGCCAGCTCCCGGGATACTAGGGTTAAGCTCTAGCTCAGGGTGGAGCGAAGTCTGGGGAAAATAGTCAGTTGAAGATCAGCTCCAGAGTTGTAACAATCCACTGAAGTTCTCCCTGCACTCTGTTCCATTCTCAATTCATAATATTTAATTCGTATAGTATTTTCCTTTAGTTTTTGTATCTTTGTAAATAATAATAAATGTAAGAAAACCGACTCGTCGAATATTCGGTTGAAAAGAGTAGTTGCATTGATTTCTTTATTCATTTTTCTTTCATATGTAACATGGTGATAAGTTCAAAAATTGGAAGCCCAAATAGCAACACTCGTTTTTGATAATATTCGGCGAAATAGTTTTCCAACATTTCGGCTCACCCTAACCAAAATGCTGGAGTACTATCGGTAGTTTGCGCGGAACGCGGCATTGAAAATAGACGCCAACTCATCTTACACTGCAGTTACCTGTTACTTTTCAAATTGTGAACATTAACTAATTAATTCCAAGGTAAAACAACATTATTTCTATTTTGTTTAGTTGCTTANTTTATCAAACCCTATGGGTCAACATCCCTTCTACCCATGCTACTAGCACCCAGAGTTAGCGTCAGGTAGACAGAATCGGGTTTTTAGCTTGGCATCATTCTGTTTATAAATATTTTTCCCTGATGAGATCGTTAAAAGATCATAAAAATTCTCGATTCTACTACAGTATAGTTATTGTGTTGAATTTTTCACTCTCAAGTTTATTATCTCTAGATTATGAGTGGACTTCATAAGTGAAGATTTAGTGCTGTTAAAGTGGAGTTTGTAAAAACTTGTTTGATTTGCAAGCTTATGGTAAGATAAATGGATAAAAGATCAACCATCATTCCGCAGAAATCAAGGCCGAGACCCAATCAAAAATATTCGCCTATGGACGAAATTTTTTTGAGATCTAGATATTTATCATCCCCGTATCGAGATAATTTTAAGGATACAAAATTGTTTATATTATTTTTACAAAAAAAGGTTGTACGATGATAACATGATAATACAATTACATTTTTTGTATTTTAGTTTATAAATTATTTAATTTACGGATAAGTTTTTTCTATTTTTCTTTCTAAAATTCATATTAAAATTTGTTTCATTGGAGACGAAAATTTATGTAACAATTGATTAATTACGCTAGTCTAGTGTGGATCTGGATAATCTGGCTTTAAAATAACATCATATTTACATACGATTGCTGGAATGTCGTCTTTCTGTTCTATTCTTCTCAGTCTTCCTGAATGATAACCAATTTTGGAATTTTAGATTTGGGACAATCAGAATCCGAGTTTTTTTTCGCTAAAAATTGTGTGAAAATTATCCCGGAAATTGGAAGGTAAAAAGTGAAGTGTGCAAACTGATCAAAAATAAACAAAGTTCATGAAAATCAAAAATTTTTCTTGTTCAATATGATTTTTAAAAATTCGAATGAAAGTATCTTTATTCTTTAGACTCCCAGAAAAGGAATTGAGTATTTGTCACAAACTTAAATTTTCTAATTCCAATATTTTTACAACCTGATGGTGTAAACCTTAGATATTTCAAGCTTTAAATATTTGTCATTGTCAGAATTCATAGTTTGAAATATCTAATGTCAACGACATTGAGTCGCAAGGATATAGGGGTTAGAAAATCAGGGCTTGTGGCAAGGACTCAATTCCTTAATAATATCATTATTTGACAGAAGGAGTTCCACTTGAAATTACATCTACAGTCCCTTTAATAAGATTTAAATTATATCATTAAACAATAGATTTTTATTAATATTATATTTAGAAACATCCGAGGTTAACATACGAAAATAAGAACAATTATATTGTATAAATATGATTTGTTATGAAAATGTATAATTCTATCAATTGTAAACCACTTATTTTAAACTTATTCAATTCAGTATTTACTATTTTAATGTAATCCATAAGTGATTTTTATGCATCCATATGTAATATTATTTATCCATATTTAATCTTTAATATCCATAATCTTGTTATTTTTTAGATACTAATATTAATTGTAACAAATTTATAGTTGATGTGTCTAATGTTTTATTCTAAAATATATTTGGTGTGCAGTGTAAATTTGTTGAGCTAAACAAGGGGTTGATCTTGAAATGCACAATGGGAAACTTACATAGCAATCTTCCATGGATTGAGCCAAAGGGGTATATATTAATCAAACCCACAGTCACGATTAACTATAGCTCCCGAACATTCAAACATTCAAACATTCAGAGAATAACCTTCTCATCCTCTGTTGTTTCCAAAATCGATAATAAATGGTGATCATATGTATTTCGATCCTAAAAAAAATACATTTAATTGACAAAGGTTTACAATCTATAAATGTAATATTTTATAATAATGAAAACTTACTAATGACGGGTAAAAGATTATAATTCGGTTATTGAACAGTACTAAAACAATGTTTTATCTTCTGAAATAAAATGGCAATTGATTTTAAATGTAAATCCCAATTTTTAAGTATTATTCTTTGTTTAACTTTTGAAGCTGAGTTACTGCACGTGAAAATTGTTTATACTGTAAACTGTCCATCAGATTCAGAGATAAAGTTTGGTTTGGTCTCCGGCTCTGGGAGAAAATCTTAGTCAAAGACGACTTTACAACGGAGTAAGCTCATTGTTTAAGGTTAACAAAATTATTTTTAAAATTTTTTATTTCAAATATTGCATTTTATATTTTATATATTTTGTACAAGCGTCTGTTACTTATAGCTTCTTTTAAAAAGAAGTAATTGACAAAATTCTGATCAATTTTGGCTTTGGAAAGATATTTTTAAGAAAACGAAACGATCTTTTTGTTTCTATAAATTTCAAAAACTATCTCTTATTTTTTTGCATGTAAAAAATAAATGAACAAAGAGTTTTTTTTACCAAGTTCTCTTCCAAAATGGAGTTTAAATAAGCTTTTTAACTCCCACATAAACCCCAGTTCCAGAATGAATTTCTAAAGTCGAGATAAATGACTATGTATTGTTGTATAGGAATAAAAATGCAAAAGGGAGATATATTTCACTCCAAGAAAGACCAAATTAATAAAGACTCATTCAACTGATATTACACGATATACGGAATTATTATTTATTAAACGTGAAAATACAAACTGAATACTATTCTACTGATAAAATATTATTGAAGATGAGAAAACAGAGCTGCAGATCTCTTATACGTTCTCATACTTCACGCTGAGAAGGTTGATCACCAACTAACTCCTTTCCTTAGCATCAGTAAACCTGCCGGGTTTAGGAGGAAATCCCAAGCTTTATCAAACCCTATGGGTCAACATCCCTTCTACCCATGCTACTAGCACCCAGAGTTAGCGTCAGGTAGACAGAATCGGGTTTTTAGCTTGGCATCATTCTGTTTACAAATATTTTTCCCTGATGAGATCGTTAAAAGATCATAAAAATTCTCGATTCTACTACAGTATAGTTATTGTGTTGAATTTTTCACTCTCAAGTTTATTATCTCTAGATTATGAGTGGACTTCATAAGTGAAGATTTAGTGCTGTTAAAGTGGAGTTTGTAAAAACTTGTTTGATTTGCAAGCTTATGGTAAGATAAATGGATAAAAGATCAACCATCATTCCGTAGAAATCAAGTCCGAGACCCCTTCAAAAATATTCGCCTATGCACGAAAATTTATGTAACAATTAATTAAAGACGCTGGTCAAGTGTGTATCTGGATAATCTTGCTTTAAAATAACATCAAATTTACATACGATTGCTGAATGTCGTCTTTCCGTTCCATTCTTCTGAGTCTTCCTGAATGATTACCAATTTTGGAATTTTAGAATTGGGACAATCACAATCCGTGTTTTTTTCGCTAAAAATTGCGTAAAAATTATCCCCGGAAATTGGAAGGTAAAAAGTGAAGTGTGAACTTATCAAAAATAAAAAAAGTTCATGAAAATCCAAATCGAATAAAAATATCTATTTTCTTTGACTCCCAGAAAAGGAATTGAGTATTTGTCACAAACTTTAATTTTCTAATTCCTATATTTTTACAACCTGATGGTGTAAACCTTAGATATTTCAAGCTTAAACTATTTGTCGATTTCATAGTTTGAAATATCGAATGCCAACGACATTGGGTCGCAAGGATATAGGGGTTAGAAAATTAGAGCTTGTGGCAAGGACTCAATTCCTTAATAATATCATTATTTCACTCTACAGAAGAAGTTCCACTTGAAATTACATCTACAGTCCCTTTAATAAGATTTAAATTATATCATTAAACAATAGATTTTTATTAATATTATATTTAGAAACATCCGAGGTTAACATACGAAAATAAGAACAATTATATTGTATAAATATGATTTGTTATGAAAATGAAAACATTAGATAAGAAAAAGATTAAGTTAAAATTGTTACAAAAAAAATAACACAATTTTTTTTACACACATTTTTTTTAAAGGCAAAATAAAAAAGTTTACATTGTTGGTAACACAAGATAAATCAATAATGATTAATTAAAAAAACCCAGAATTTCGAAGTTATTACACAATACACATAGGTGCCGATTATGTTAAAAAAATGTGAATTAAGTTAAATGGGTAGAAAATCTTTTAACTAACTGATCAAATAAGCGCTACTATAACTCATCGAGACTATCAACGCAATTTTAAATTACCCTTATGCCCTACTCACAACGATACCTATTATCAAGAAAAAATGATGGAGATATTCATTTTTACAAATAAGAAAAAAATCTTGTTTTTGCAAAAAAGAGCAAAATGATATCTTCCTCATTGTTTATCGAGATGATCAGAATGAGGTGTAAAAAGGGCAACATTTAGTGGGTCACTTAATATATTACGTTTACACTTGAGAGATTAAGGGAGTGCACTCCCTTAAAGAAATGTAGATTAAGGGAGTGCACTCACTTAAAGAAATGTAGATTAAGGGAGTGCACTCCCTTAATGAAATGTAGATTAAGGGAGTGCACTCCATTAAAGAAATGTAGATCTAAAAATCTAAATAAGATTACTTATTGTAAATTATACACTTTAAATAGGAAAGCACTTAAAATAATAATGCAATAAATATTAAATAAGCTCGATGATTCCGAATTAGTTTAACAGTAAATAACAAAAAATGAGAACGCTTCAGGAATACGTGAAGGGGACAGTAAATTCAAAATTTAATATCTTAGAAGGGACAGCAATGTGATTTTAAGTAAAGACAATAATGCCCTTTAATCGGAGGAACAATGATGATTGATATTAGACAATTTTCTGCCATTTTCTTGCTCGTATTTCTTTCAGAAATTTGTGAGACGTTTTCTTGTAAAGAAAGGGCAAAAGTCTGAATAGTAGTTTAAAATATACTGTTCAGAATCCTTCAAATACCGGACCAATTATAACCACATCGACAAACCCATTCAGATACAGTGATAATCATAAAATTCTGGAATTGGAAGACGACTTCTAGAATCAAGTCATGACTTGAAGTAGTGCATTAAACTTGATACACAGCATTTGTGCAATGTAAAGTTGTAAACAGACCCGTTTAAGTAACTAAGTGATAAGATAAGTTACTTAATATGCTTTGTAACACCCTAATACACTTCATTATTGCAACTGTCTTATTCCACATTATTCTGGTTCGCACTCAACTAACAAACATATGGAAGTGTAAAAGTTTTGTATGAAAACTATTACTTTGACCCATTCTGACCCATCCTGACCCATACTGACCCATCCTGACCAATCCTTACCAATCCTGACCCTGACCCTGACCCATCCCATCCCAAACCCTCTTTTTTAATTAAAGCTTTAACTTAATACTTTTACTACAGGGTTATTCAAAAAGGATGAGACTGCGAAGACGATCTAAAACTCATTATAATTACGATCACAAGGTTAGATTAAGTCTTCTGTCTGAAATCTAGTAATTTTAGGTCTTTTTAATAATTTGTCACAGAAAGAAACAATTTTGTTGCATAGAATCGTGAATATGAAGAAACAGGCCGTATAAATTCCGTTCAGTCGTCTCTGAAGTATTTTCCTTTGTAATTAACACTGTATATAATTCATGTACTTTTAAACATCATCATTTTTTTATTACCCTTTTCCTTCTCTATCTGCTGCTGCCTCTTCAAGTAGTCTTGAAACCAGCTCAGGGTCCACATATTCAGGGACCTTAGGTTCCACATAATCAGGGGCCTTAGGGTCCACATGATCAGAGACTTTAGGATCCACATATTCAGGGACCTTAGGGTCCACATATTCAGGAACTTTAGGGTCCGCATGTTCAGGGACGTTAGGTTCCACATAATCAGGGACCTTAGGTTCCACATGATCAGGGGCTTTAGGGTCAACAAATTGTAGGGCTTCAGGGAGAACAGTAGGTAAAGGATCATTGGATTCAGGGGGCGAGGGGTCCACAACAACAGGGGCATCAGGGGGATGATCCGCAGGCGAGGAGTTATCTTTGGGTTCAGTTATTAATGAGTCTTCAGATCTATTTTCTGTTTCGGCAATGATTAGTTTAGGGGTAGTGATGCTAATGGTACTTCCATTTTCATTAGATTTACTAAGACGAGAATCAGATCGTTTCGCTTCGGCAGGAGTCGTAGAGGAGTTCATAAGAGTATCCAGCTTTTCAGAAGTATCAGCCAGTGTTGGGTCGGGTTTTATCAATGGTTCGTAGCTGCTAGAATCTAGTTTAGCCATAGAAGATTCGGATTTAAATTTTGGTTGAGAATAAGGGCTGGAGGGACCTTTGGAAATATTATGATCTAATTCAGAAGTTGGTGGTGTTTTTTCAAACTCCAAAGTTTGAGGATTTGTTTTCTGATTTTCTGCATCTTTACTCTCAACTCTCGCTGAAAAAAAATGTATGTGATTGTGCGCATTATCTAACTTGAAATAAAAATTTCAAGGCTTTGAAGATATATATTATTTACAGTCATTACCAGAAGTACCCGGAATTAATTGACAGTTAATCAGACGACTTACACATACATACACACTTACATATCTGGTAATTTTAAATACACAATAAATGCAGACCACAATTTGGAATTGACAGGAATAGGCCTATTTTGTTTCTATCTGTTTTTAAATCATATTTGTAAAATTAGATTGTAAAGTCGTCTGATCTATTTATAATTATGAATTAATTCCGGGCCTTTCTGACTTAAAAAACATTGATTTTAAGAAAGTAAGCATACCCCAAGGTCTCTACATAAAAATAGATTTTTACGAAAAATAGTGTTTGTATTTTAAAGATTGTTTATGAAAAATGAAAGAGGGGAAAAAAGGCTAAACAAAAATCGTATTAGAAATAAATTTGTATCAATCTTAATTTCATCTGATGTTTTAGAAATGAGAGAACTGCAAAAAAAATCGTCGGTCGCCAAGGACGCTGCAGGAATCTACAGTGGTAGGCGATTATATCAATACAATTATGATTTAATATCAAGCTTTCAAACAGCATTGATACACATAAAATCTTCACTTTTATTACTTGTAAACTTGTATTACAAAAAAAGCTTGTTAACAATCAAAACTTAAATAAAAAAGTCGTCTTCTTTGTATTGATATTATCGCGTACTCCTGCAGTAAAATCGATTAATTTCTAACTAATCCTTTCATTTTGGCAATGGAAAGATTTCGGATTCACTTACCTCTTACATCTGATTCCACTTTATTTAGTTCTTCATCTTGTTCTTGTTCTTGTGCATCTGCTTGTGCATCATCATTTCTTTCTTGTTCTTCTAACTCATTTCTTTCCTTTTCTTGTCCTACATCAGATATATTTATATGGTCACCAATCCACTTAGAGGCACTGTCAAGTGTCTATGTATTTATAGTTTGTCTGATTCACAACGGTGCCCCTTTAATTTTAATCTTTAACGCATGGGGAAGAAATTCTCGTTTTTATGTTTTACAATTTGTTAAATTCTGTAAATTTCATTCCTTTATCCTGACGCATAATTCCACAATTGACTTTGACAAATGGAAATAATTTATTTTTAGATAAAAAACTTAAAGGGTATGCGTCTCGGGTCACTTAGAATTACGGCTATAGTCCCTTAAAGGGAGTGACCGGCTATGTAAGGTAGTTGAACTGAGTATGCAGTGTTGTGGAAAACTTCTTTCGGATTTATTTGAGACATATTAAACTTTTTAAATATCTGTAAATCCTGAGGTTGAGCGCAAATTCGACGTTCAAAACTCCTACTTTGGGGGTGGGTATGTTTTCAGAATTAGTGTTTTTAAATTATTAAATAACGACGACATAAAATGTAAAAAAGTTCTTCAATAAACGACAGACGTCATGTATAGGAACATGTTGAGAAAATAAAAATTAATCTTTATATATATATATTTTTACTTTATTTTTCGTTGTCGTTATTTAATATTAAAAAAAAGCTAATTCTGAAAAAGTAGAAGTTTTGAACGTCGAATTTGCGCTCCAACTCAGGATTTATGATCATGATGATCATAACGCTAATGATGATAATGATGAAAATGATGATAAGACTAATAATAATTATTAATACCTTGGCTATCACTGATTAGCGCCAGAATAGATTCGTATAGATGTGAGTGCTCGGTAGCGTCAAGCTGGTCCAAACAGTTCTCAAAACTCTAAATATTTAAAGAGATAGTCTTTAAAACTCTAAATATCTAAAGAGATAGTTTTCAAAACTCTAAATATTTAAAGAGATAGTTCACGAAACTCTAAATATCTAAAGAGATAGTTCTAAAAACTCTAAATATTTAAAGAGATAGTTCTCAAAACTCTTAAATAATTAAACAGATAGTTTTCAAAACTCTAAATATTTAAAGAGAAAGTTTTCAAAACTCTAAATATCTAAAGAGATAGTTTTTAAAACTTTAAATATTAAAGAGATAGTTCTCAAAACTCTAAATATTTAAAGAGATAGTTTTTAAAACTCTAAATATTTAGAGAGATAGTTTTCAAAACTCTAAACATTTAAAGAGATAGGTTTAAAAACTCTAGATATTTAAAGAGATAGTTTTTAAAACTCTAAATATTTAAAGGAACAGCTCTCAAAACTCTTAATAGTTAAAGGAATAGGTCTTAAACTCTATAACTAAAGGGATATTTAAAAGGTGTTTTATTTCTTAAGAATTATTTTTCTTAACGCAAGCCTTAAAATCATAAATATATCATCAAAATATGCTACTACAACAACATTTATTAGAAGATAGGCGCAATAATAGGTTTCAGATCATAAGATGTGGAGGGTGGGGGGGAAATAACCCCCGCCCATCGTTAAAATGACTTACCTCATATTCACTCTCATCATCACTCCCCTCCTCTATAGATCCCTCCTCCCTCTCCTCTCCTCCACACCTCACCTCTATCTCCTCACTCACCTCCTCAACCTGAAATATATTTTTCTTAAAATAAAATAAAAAAGTCACAGCTGAAGTCAGAATCTTCACGCTGGTAGTCGGTCCTTGTACCAGCAAGCTGTCACTTTCGATCTCAATTATACATATTTTTTTTTACTTTTTCTCTTTATTATTATTATAAAAGGACAACCCATCATTCAATGAAATAGGGGTCGGCGCTCCTAGCCGCCGAAACGTATCCATGGGCTGACCGTACCGTGTCACCCTAGGGAGAAGACTTATACTAGGCGAATGCGTTTTAAATAAGACAAGTGTGAAAAGACAACTTTTAAGATTGTTGAATTATGGACTAAAATTGAAGAAACCAAACCCATCTCGGCCTGGTTAGTTCAGAGTGTCTTGGTAT